TTTCTTCTTTGCTTTATTTTTTATTTAATAGTCTGTTGTTCTATTTCCATATAGTTGCAAATGTGATTTCTGATTTCATTCCATTGTGGTCAGAAAAAGTGCTTGGTATACTTTCAGTCCTTTTAAGTCTTGTTTTATGTCCTAACATATGCTCTGTTTTGGAATGTGTCCTTTTTGGGAATAATGTGTGGTTGACTGTTGCTGAATAGAACATTCTGTAGATGTGTTGATTTATATCATTGAGCAGGTCTTCTGTTTCTTTCACGTATTTATTTCACTTAATGTACATTTTAATAATTTCTGTGTACTCTATTTGGTGTTCTCATAATTTTGTTTTTGGTCCTTTAAATTTGACTTCCTTTTGTTTTTTTTTTTTAAACATTTTAAATAGCTTATTTGAAGTTTTGTCTTACTAAAAGTCCAGTGTCTGGACTTCCTCATGAACTATTTCTATTAATTACCTTTTTTTCCAGTGCACAGGTCATATGTTTCTATTTATTTGCATAACTTGTACATTTAAAAGAAAAAAATGTTGCCAGGTGTAGTGTGTCATATCCCTTTAATCCCAGCACTCAAGAGGCTGTGGTAAGAGGATCGCCTTAAGTTCCGGGCAACCCTGGGCTGCATAATAAGTTCCAAGGCCAGCCTGAACTACAAAAGTGAGACCCTGTCTCAAAAAACTAATAAATAAGTTAAGTAATATAATGGGGTGACCTTTGAAACAGATTCTTTCTCTTTTCCCTAGGGTTTGTTTGTACCATTTGTTGCTTTGTGACTTTACTGAGTTAAATCTTAAAATCTGTATTTTTTGTCATGTGTGGCACTGAAGTCCCTGCTTGGTTAGCTTAATACTCAGCTAATGATTAGACACAGATTTCCTTAAAAGCTTGGAACCATGAAATCCTCTAGTCTTTGCCAAGGGGCGCTGTGTGCATGTTGAAGCATGCTTTAAACACTCAGGAAGTTAACAACTTTGCTTGTGTTTAAACTTCCTGACTGCACAGAACTTAAAGATCAGCCATAAATGAGTGGTTAGAGCCTTCTTAGGTCTTTTCTGATCATATATACAGACATCCTTTCATTTCACATAACTTTCTAGGTTCCCAGGAATGTCAGAGCTTTTAAAAGTCCTCTATGGACATCTAATTTCTCAATTTTTCTTTTTAACCCTTTTGTTTAACTGCTACCTTAGGTGTCCTCCTAAGAGTAAAAATTGACTCTTTAATTGTTTTTGACAAATTGGGAAAAGGCATTTTGAATTGGACAAGCCCTGATTTAGGTCAAATAAAGACATCTCTGTAACTAGGGATGGACTCTTCCAGGAAACCACCAGACAGGTCAAGGAATAATATAGCTCTGAAGAAGCTCCAACCCTATTTTATCCCCTGTGGCATCTGGTAAGCTGCTGGTTTTCTCCATAGTTGTAAGATACTGATTTTCAAAAATACCATTACATCTGGAATGGGAGAGAGGAAATGGAGATAGGTCAGAGCAAAATGCTGTTTAGCTTATATTTTTAACAAGATTGAGCTGTTTGGGGATTTAGCTCAGTGGCACAGCGCCTGCCTGGCAAGCGTGAGGTCGTGAGTTCGATTCCTGGTACTGGAAAAAACCCAAAACCAAAAAAAAGAGAAAAGATTGAGCTGTTTTTCTTGAATAAGTACTCTCTGGATTGCTGAAGTTTTGGATTAATTTCCAGAGTTCTGAAAAAGTTGACTTTTTTATGGTTTTCTTGTTGCTTTTGCAGAGGAGAAAATACTTGAAGATCCTTATTCTGCTACTTTTGCTGACTTCACTCTTTTTTTTTTCCTTTGGTTTTTTGAGACAGGATCTCACTGTGTAGTTCAGGCTGGCCTATAGCTTACTATGTAGCCCAGTCTATCCTGAAACTCACAGTGATCTTCCTGCCTCAGTTTCCCAAGTGCTGGGATTACAGGTGTGTGCCGCCATGCCTAGTGAGCTGCTGACTTCACTCCTGTTATTTCTTTTCAGAGAAGTTAATTATCCCTTCCTTTCCCTTACCAACTCTTAAAATATCAACTATTGTTGAGTCTTTCTATGGATTCTACATTTGTCAACCAACCTTACATGAAAAATATTTAGGAAAAAATTTGTAACTATTGTACATGTACAGATAATTTTTCCTGTTATTGATCATGAAAGAATTTAGTATAATGACTATTTATATAGCATTTACATTGTGTTAAGTATTACAAGTAATCTAGAGATGTTTCAAGTGTACAAGAACATCTGTATGGGTTATATGCTCATACTACACCATTAAATATAAGCAATTTGAGCTGTCTTACAATTTGATATCCATGAGGGGAGAGGAATTTGTGGGATGAATCCCCACAGATATGGAGATAGTATTTCATTTTTTTCATAGTTAAAAGACTTTATTCTAATAGCTATAATTACAGTGCTTGTCAAAATAAAAACTGAAAACAAGTACACAAAGTGGTCGATTACTAATAGTGCATTGAAAGCAATAAGAAGTTCCACAACACCAAATAAACCAGTTCTGAAGTTTCCCTAAGATAAATTTAACAGCTCCAGCTTCTTTAGTGTTTATCAAAATACAAAAGAAAAAAAGTAGAGGTCATCCTTTCTGATGGCAAATAAGACCCTTGCAGGCTGAAGAAGAAAGCTACTTCACAGATGGAGGTGGGGGTGCTCTGGGACTGTGGTCTGGAGTGGACCAACCGACCTAGCTTGCATGTGCTCCTGCTGGTGAGACCCAGACTTTGGTCGACATGTCTGAGTGGGCCCTGGAAATAGGGGGTGCCACTCCAGCTGCATACTTACCAAGGGTGTGCCCCACACCACTGTCATGGTCCTCCCAGCCTACCCTGAGGTGATCGTGTGAGCATGAGTACAAACGCAATGCTTTGGAATGCAGGTGACCCAAAAACAGGTGGGCCACAGAGTCTCTACTGTGACCATGCAGTGGATGGTGCTTGTTGGTTACATCTCTTGCTTTCCCAGAGGAACAGCTGATCTGATGGGTAGTGTTTAGCTGAACTGTAAAACCTGTACTAGATAGAGTCTCCCTTCTGTGTGTTCAAGTGGTCTTCCTTATCTTATAATTTTTAACTCTATAAAAATGCACTGAGTTTGGGTTAAAAACAAAACATCAAATGGATCCTGAGACCAGTCTATAGCCCAGTGGCTCCTGGAGGCCAGGTGCTCATTGCACCCAGATCCCTTCTCAGTACTGACAATGAGTTGATTTCTTTCTTTTTTTTTTTTTAACAATAAAAAATTTGAGTAATATTGCATAGGAGTACCAGAAACTGTGTCAAAGGAAACAGATTTCTATTTACATTATATAGAATTCTGGCTGCATGCTGTGTCTGTACATGTACAGCACAGTGTGTCCATGCTGACCAACCCTGGAGACAGCTTCTGGCACTCAGGACCACAGAGTCACACAGTTTGTCACATGAGAGGAAAGCAGAGGGCAGAGAGGAGGAAGTGAGGATGAAGAGAGTTCTGGTTCACTTCTGGTTCTGGAGCTGATTGGACAGCCAGTCCAGCCCTTGATAGAGCCCATTCCCCCTGGTGGCATAGGTGGCCTAAATGTACCAGTTCCTGTGGCATAGAGTGCAGCCCCAGGTTGTCTGTGCTTTCACCTGCATTCATTGTGTTGGGAAGGTCCTGCTCGTTGGCAAACACAAGGAGGACAGCATCCCAGGGCTTGTCCTTGGCCAGCATCCTCATGAACTACTCACAGGCCTCGTTCACTTGCTCTGTCATTACTATTGTTACAGTTTGTGTCTGAATGTCCCCCCACAGCATCATGCAATCATGCAGCAGGCTTCTAGAATTTATGATTGATTCATTGTCAAATGTTGGAATTATGGATGTGAATGCTACAGCTGCCCTGGGGCGGGTAGTTTGCATACAATGTAAGGGAGGGAAAGAGGCTGCTTGCCACTGCTTCTCCCTTTGCTGTCTTCCACCACCATGAACTGTTGCCCTCTGCCATGTGCCACTCTGCCTGGAGCCAGCCAAGTATGGACTGAAACCTCCACAGACTGCAAGCTAAATAAACCTTTCCTTCCTTAATTTTGGGTGTCAGGTATTTTGTCTCAGCAATTAGAAAAAAGTAACCAAGACAGCTATCCATCACAAAGAGCAAACCTTGGGTGTTCTGGATCCCACAGTGGTTGAGTCTTGTCCTGGTCACCCACATCCCATGAGGCAAAGCTAACGTTTTTATATTCAACAGTCTTGGGCTGGGGATATAGCCCAATGGTGCAGTGCCTGCCTGGAAAGCACAAGGTACTGAGTTCAATTCCCAGTACCTAAAAAAAAAAAAAGAAAAAGTCCTTGTATTCAACAGTCTCCACTTTGAAACCTGTGGTGGGAATGGTAGTCACAATCTCGCCAACCTTCAGATTATACAGAATTGTCTTTCCAGCAGCATCCAGGCCCACCATGAAAATGCACATTTCTTTTTTTGCCAAAAAGCCCCTTGAGGTTTGCAAAGATATTCCCCAGGATTGTGGATGCGTGGAAGTGACACTGGCCGGCGACCTCAGTGGGGCTACTCTGAGCCAGGCATCGGTTTCACTCCCATGAGATGGCGGCACTGACCTGTCTCATTTTCATTACTTTCACTTAGTGAGTTAGTGGGCAGGCATGGTCTTCTTTGTTCTTGGTAACTTTCGTTTTCTCACTTCTGTTTCTCTTAAGGGTCTTATTAGAGTTGTGAAAACAAGTTGGGAATTAGTATCTCTTAAACTGTCCAAGCACATAAAGGTAAAAAAGGTGATAGTAAGGTTAGGAAAGAAAGAAGAAAAGGTGTAATATACAGCCACATAAACAGTTGTACCAACAAAATAAACCCAGCATTTTTCCCAGACTTTGAATAAACGACTGAAATATTAGACCAAAGAAAAACATAAAGTAAAATTTAGAATTTTAAGAAACTTGTAATATTATCTTCATATATATTTATATTTTCTAATGTATTTGGTATTTTGTCCCATCAGGATGCTCGACATGCAGCAGAGGGAGAAATATATACCAAACTTAACCAAAAAATCGATGAATTTGTTCAGCTTGCTGATTATGACTGGACATTGTCTGAGCCAGATGGAAGAGCTAGTGGTTATTTAATGGATCTAATTAACTTTTTGAGAAGCATCTTTCAGGTGTTTACTCATTTACCTGTAAGTATAATTTCAAAAAGTTGTAAGTGTGCTTACCAAAGTATATCTTAGAATTTAATTTCAGTTTGAGGTTGTCTTGTTTAAATCAACTTCTTTTTTTTTGAGATGGGTTTGTGCTATGCAGTTCGGGCTGGCCTTGAGCTCACTTTGTAGCCCAGGCTGGCCTCAAACTTGCAACGATCCTCCTGCCTCAGCCTCCCGAGTGCTGGGATTACAGGCATGTACCACTACACCCAGCTGTAAGTCAACTTCTGAGACTGCATATTTCCTTTTTTTCTTTTTTTAAAACAGAGTTGAGCTGTGTAGTTCAGGGTGGTCTTGAAGTCACTGTGTAGAGCCCAAGCTGACCTTGAACTCATGATGATCTTCCTGTCTCAGTCTCTGGATTACTGGGATTACAAGCGTGCACTATGAGGCCTAGCTGCATGTTTCTTTTTTATTTCTACTGTATAGATCAACTTGTGAAGAATCACAACTTAGCAGTTTTTTTAGAGGTTTTATTTTACTTTTTAACCAAAATAACTACAATTCTCTTTCCACTAAAACCAAAACAAAACCCTAATATTGATTTAAATAAACTCTAATAGGTGTTTTCATAAAAGTCAATATAATCAATGCCTTTTCTAGTTAGATAAAGCTAAGAAATTATTGGATATTTTTTAGTCAAGAAATAAAAAGTAAAATAGGAACATCTTGGTACATACTCACAATACATCTGTATTTTGAACTTCTGTTGATGAAACAACAAAAATGATAGAACAAGGACATTTGAATATGAATTGGCTGAAACATTGGATTCTTCAGGTGAAGACTGCAGAGACAAAAAGACTGGATGAACATTCCTGTATTAGTATATCTAGATATAGTAGAACTACTGTTAAAACAGGACTGGAGTAGTTTTATACAAATAAAATTGGAAGAAATTTTATCAGCCATTTTATTCCATGATATAAGCTATAGCCAAACATAAAGATAAAATATTTAACATGGAATTCCAACAACTACCACCAACCCTGTCCCTTATTTGAAATGAAGAAAAAGTTACATTCCTGATTCTTTACCTTTTACCCAACAGCATTTGCTCAGAGGCTTCATTGGAATAGTTGAGGGAAGGTGTTCCTAAAGAAATGAGAAAAATACTTTGAAAAGATTTTAATCATGGACCTGGACCAAAGAATTTTTACAAGCTTACCCACAGATAATAATGTATCCCTAACTGCTATCCTTGAATTGAAAAAGGAAACTTGTAAAGATAATTTTTTTATCAAGTGGTTTTAAAGAAGTGTTTTTATGTATTATACACTAAATAATTGTAAAATGAATTTGAATCCACTTTGTGAGTGTGACTCTCCATGCTTTCAGCCAAAAGCAGTCCTCAAGAATAAACAAATGCACATTCATGCAGACACATTATTGTGTTTTTATGTTATAATACCTGCATAACTTGGTGTGAAGTGATAGGTAGAAATTTTGTGCATAAATGGGAAAAGATTAAGGGAGATTCTATGTTAGAAATATTGGGGGTTAGTGCCACATCTCAAGGCTATCATCCTGGAGGGAAATCCTACTTTCTTATACCCTGATGACACTGAGAAACAGATTTATTGGTCTAACTGTGTCTATCTAGTGTATAATAACATTTTGTATGGTTTTAGATGAGTCTTTCTGTGCCGTTTTGGACTTTGATTATGTCATGTGACATAGGTTTTTCCATAAAAGATATAAAATTTTTAGGTGCCAAGGATATAGCTCAATGCCACAGAACCTACCTGGCAAGCACGATGTCCTGAGTTTGGTTAAATAAATAAATAAATAAATAAATGTGTATGTATTTTTTTCTAAGCAAATATAGCATTATGTAAGCCACCATTTTATTTATATGTTTTAAACTGGAAACAATTTCTTGGTTTGAGTTTACTGTTGAACTCAGGTAGAGAGGGACCAATCCTGGACTTCTTCAACCCTCAAAGAGTATTTGGAAGATATTTTTTAATCACATTCAGTCTCATGTCAGTTATCTGAAGCAGAACTAGCTATCCCACTTAGAGTATGAGAGGCTAGGTAATGAGTTTAGTCTTGGTCCCCTCTCCCTGTCTTACATTTTGGCAGTGTTCAGGAACAATGGGAAGAGTTAAGAGTCCATGGAAATTGTGAAACCAAGGGCTACTCTTACAAGTAGTGCAAATGTTGGCCAATAGTGCAAAAATTGGACAAGAAGTATATTTTCTGGGACAAAGGTGGTTTTCTTACTTCCCCTGCTCTGTAACAACCTGTATTTGAACATTTTCAGTTTAAAACCTCCACCCTTAGCTTTACTGAGTAGTTTTTGTCATCCCTATTACTGCTGGGAAAGGATGTTTTGTAAATCAAAGATTGTCATGATGTGTGGTTGCTGATCATATTGCCGGTGCAAATTCCACTGGATCCAGAAATGTTACAGTCTACTTAGTAGGACTTTTTATCTGCTTACAGGATATCAGAACAGTAGAGGCTAATAGAATTATAATTTTTATGGAGTTTAGGGAAAGAAATCTGTCATCTTCACAGATTGTGGTAGTAGTAGAAAACTGTAAGATTTGGAAACTACCAGTAATGTCCACTTCACATCTTATTTCCAGGGTTAGACAAGTGAGCATGTTGATAACAAGCATATCCCTTGCTTGTTTTTCTTTAAGAGTTAGCTAGTACAGCCCTGTGTGGGCATGGAAGAATAAAGAAGTTTCTTACCTCTAAATCAGTGGAGGCAAACCTGTGGCACAAGCCACAGCAGGCTGTTTATATCATTGAAAGCTGTAAAAGCTTGCTATCGCTGCTCTAAACACCTATTCATCTGCACTTCCTTGTGTTCTATCAGGACAGCCAGGCTAAATAGTCAATGTTTATAGTAATCACAATTATTTCTTCATTATCCAAAATACTAAACTGACCTGTTACATATCTTATCTGTCTTGAGGCAACTTGCCGTTTTTGGACTCATTTAGAGTTTATTAATCTTTTATTGCTTCTAAGGGTGTGGGTGCTGAAGAGAGGTGGTTCATAGGAGTGGTTCTAGGGTTAGAAAGACTTATGTTTGAATCTTAGATTTGTGATTTACTAGCTATAGGACCTTGCTTAACCTCTCAGCCTCTTCCCTTCTACAAAATGAATGTAATACATTTTTCCCATAGGATTATCTCAGGATAAATTCAATTGGTATACAGAAAACTTGCCTGGTAGGATGCTTGGCATAAAGTTGGTGCTATTTTTGTTGTCATTTTTGGTACTGGGAGTCGAACTCAAGACCTTGCAACTGCCAGACAGGTGCTCTTCCACTGAGCTGTATCACCGGCCCAAAGGTGGTACTATTCATAACTGTTAGCTTTGTCTTCTTCCTGTGTTAAAGTTTTAAGGCCCTTTTAGTGGCTTTTCATCTTTTCCCTTGTTACATTTGTGTCTATATTTTTAGATTGATTTCATTTTCAATTTTATACCTTTACATGGTATAACCATTTAAAAGTTTTACATTAATTATGAAAGACATTCATTATAGAGCATATTAGCTTATGTTGAAGTATTTACAATGAATGGCTATGAAATCTGAATGTGTGAAGTAAAACTTACTTTATCCCTAAGCCACTACACTTGGAGATAGATTATTTTCACTACTTCAAATGTATACATGACCCTTTTTAATAATAGTATAGCTAAATATAGAGAATAAAACAAAAATTAGCTTGTTAAAGGATAATAACTGTATGATATGTTTTGGTAGTATTTTCAAGTTTTTTATTTGTGTGTGTGTGCATTTATGACATGAAATTTAAGCCTGGCTTACAAGCAGACTTTGCCTTTGAGGTAAGATTTTATACAAGCCAGAAAATTTTAAGCCAGAACTTTTAAAAAACATTAGACATTCATTTTTCATTTATATGAATATAAATAAAATAAATTTTTGAGCAGCTTGAACATCTCGTCATTCTCCATGACTGCCAGTGGAACCGAGTTAACATTTTGCTGTGAACTTATTACCCAAAGACCCCAGCATTAGTCGGTTTCTGGAAAAAACAACTAACATTTCCTTTTGTTGTAAATGCTAATCATATGTTTGCCTCAGTAACAATATTTTACTGATTTATAACCACTAAGGAATATAAGTGAATGGTAATGAGTTTTTCATTTCTTCACATGTGTTTATTCACAGAAGCAACCCAATTTATCTCAATGTTATACTGAAAAACGATTGCTTTCTATAGAAGTAAATAGAATATTTTGCATGATAAATTTGCCCATTTTAATTGTTTTTAGAAACACTCCATTGTTTACTTTTAACCATAGTGTAAGATTCTCCATTTACTCTAGAGGCATTACATTTGTAGGTAAATCTGATTTCTATTTTAATTTTAAATGTTGTTATGGTTTGTGTCCAGATGTCCCCTCAAAAGCTCCATGCAGTCATAGCGCAGGCTTCTAGAGTTTATGACTGACTAATGGTCCAATGCTGGGATTATGGGTGTGAGTGCTCCATCCACCCTAGGGTGGGTAGCCTGCATACAATATAAGGGAGGGAAAGAGGCTTTTTCCCTGCTGCTTCTCCCTTTTTGCTCTTGTTGCTTTTGCGGCCATGAGCTGTAGCCCTGTGCCATGTACCACTCTGCCTTGGAGCCAGCCCAGTATAGACTGAAACTCCACAAACTGTGAGCTAAATAAAGCTTTTCTTCCTTAATTTTGGGCATCAGGTCTTAGCAGTGAGAGAAAAGTAACCAAGACAAATGTCAAAACTGTTTTTATAGGTATTTGTTTAAGCCTTTTGTTAATGCTATGCAGTAGTAGTTTTCTGTTACAAGAAGTAAATTGCAAAAAAATTACTTATTTGAAAATGAATATACTAAAAAAAAAAAGAAAATGAATATACTTATATTTTATAACTTTAGTCCTTTTAGGCATTTATTAAGTTGGTGTCTCTAGCTAGCTAAATTCTGATTAGTCTTGATGAGAAACTTATTTCATAAATTACGTCATAT